TCTTTCCCTGCCATCTCTGCTGCTGTCTGGCCTGCTCCTGCTTCTCTGATAAGTCATTTTTTCATCTCTTGAAAAAACTCGACTTAGTCATGATATTTTGATTAATATCTTATAAGATTCAATTTCCTTTTATTTAGAATATTTGCATCTACATTCATATTACAGATTATCCCTTCATTTTTTTTCTTCTAATTTTATCTTTGTTGAATATAGGTATCAAGGTCATACTAACTTCATACACAAAGTAAGGACATTCTCTCTTTTTCTGGAATCTGAACATTATTATAAAATTAGAATGTTCTGTTACTTATAATATTTGGTAGAAGTCACCTGTAAAACTGACGGGCCTACTGTTTTATTAGTAGATAAGTTCAGATAGATTTTTTTTTCCATTTCTTCAATGGCCATGACAGAGGTGATATTCAGAATATTTAAATAACCAACACTGCATGAAAACTAACTAGTCAACACTGATTTGGATGGCAGTGCTACAACTGGGTCCTGGATTTACTCTACTGTGTAAGAGGACTTTAGCTACTAGATCATACAGAGATCTTGAGGGAGGTATTCCTAGAAGAGGGGCCTGGATAGCCAAAGGGTGCCAGGATATCACGCTGGCGATGATTCAGGATAGTGGCCATTTATCAATTATTATGGACATTCAGTTGTTTAATAACCACTTCAGCTGAACTTGTACTTATTGGTTAAATATCAGTCCTAGTAATAAGTCAATTTCAGGTTTTCTATTTCTTCTTTGGTCAGTTTTGCCAAGGTGTATTTTTTGAGTAAACCATCTATTTTATTAAAGTTTTCAAGTATAGTGGCAGAAAGCTGTTCTTATTATCTTACTCTTTATTACATTTTTTGTTGTCTCCTTTTTTGTTGCTAAGATTTTTTTTATTTGTATCTTCTTTTTTCTCTTAATGAATCTTACCCCAATCAGATTCGATTAACTTTTTCAAAGAGCAGTTCTTTAAAAAAAAATCTTTATTTTATTTTCATTTTCAATTTCATTAATTTTTGCTTTTATCTTTTTATCATTTCCATACATGTACCTTCACTGGGTTTGCCCTTTTTAAATCTTTTTCCAACTTTTTGAATTAGGTCCTTAGTTCATTGATTTTCAGTAGACCTTCTGATTTCACTATGCTTTTTTCTTTGATCCATGAATTATTTAGGAAATGAGTTTATAAATCTCCAAACATGCGAATTTTTAGTATCTGTGTTAACTAAACTGAACTGAGGTCAGGGAAAATGGTTTGCGTAAAACAATTCTTTGATATTGGTTGAGACTTACTTTATAGTCCAGTATGCACTCATTTTTGTACATGTTCAAAGTTTGCTTCACAGGATGTATTCACTATTTGTTGGAAGCAGAATTCTAAATATGCCTAATAGATCAAGATTATTAATATTAAAACCTATAGCCTTACTAATTTTTTGGTCTATTTTATCTATTATTAAATAAAAGAATAGTGTTAATATTTTCCACTAAGATGGGGATTTTCATGTTTTTCTTATAATTCTGTCCATTTTTACTTTTTGTGGTTTGAGGCTATGTTATTAATTGTATACAGCATAAGAATTCTTTCATGTTCTAATGAAATAGAGGATTAATATATCATTTTTATCACTAATAATGCTCTATGCTTTAAACTCTATTTTGTCTGCTATTAATGTAAATATAACTGTTTTTCTTTGATTTGTACTTGCCTGTTATTTTTCCCATCATTTTACTTTCAAACTTTCTGTGTTTGTATGTTTTTAGTGGCTCTTTACAAAAAACATATAGTTTGGTTTTATTTTTTAATCTAATCTAACACTATCTTTTAACCGGCTACTTTAGTCCATATACATTTATTGTGATTACTGATTTTTGGATTCTCTGCCTACCATATTTTTGTGCTTCCTAATTTACCTGTTTTTTAAAATGATTTTTCCCCCATCTTCTCTGCCTACATTGGATTAATCATGTTTTATTATCTTTTATCTTTCTACTATTTTGGAAGTTATCATTTATATCCCTATTCAAATTTTATTTCTGAATTTAAAAAATTATTTCTAAATTTTAACAAGTTTGATTTGGTCTAAAGATAATCAGCTCTATCCTCTGCTCACACAATATGGGAATCTGTAACATTACTTTAAGAATATCCCCTCTCTTTTTACATATGACCTCTGAAAAGGATGTTTCATACGTGATCCTGGTATATTACTATATTGTCATTTCACCATAGCTAGCAACAGGTATATTTTAATTATTTCTCAAATGTCAGTTTCTCTTAAGGAGACATTTCATTGAAGTGCTTCACAACAGAAGAATTACCTACATTTTAGGTGAGACAACTGGTCCACTGTGCAAACTGTCCTGTGCACTGCAGGATGTTTAGAAACTGATCCCTGCAGACTAAATGCCAGTAGAAATCCTCTTCTCCCATAGTGACAATTAAATAATGTGTACCACACGTTATTTACAAACATTCCACTAGAGATCAGTACCACTCCAATAGAAAGACTAATTACTCTTAATGCATGGAAACAAAGTGTAAAAATTACAAAATAAATAGATTTAGAATTGAAGAACCAATGACTGAAAAATACTTCAGTTCCACAAAGGAAATAAAAATATTTTTCCTTATATTCAGGAAACTCATCTTATAAACCATTTTTCATCATTAACTATACTACTTCCATATAATTTTCTCCAAATTTTTTAGTTGCAATACATGAGTAACTTCAAGTAACAAAAGAATCACTGACTGTTTTTCACAAAACTAGTTTCTTTCTTCTAAAGCTATATAAAAGCTAAGGCAGAACACTGAATTTGTTTATCATCTTAAAAAAATATTTTTATTTATAATCCTAACATAGTCTCCTATTCACAAACCTGTTGGTGTCCCAAATAATGACATTTCCATCAAATCCTGATGTTACTAAGAGTCTTGTATTAGTATCATATTCGATGTTCTTCACCCAGCTAGTGTGACCATGTAAAGTGCATACTTTGGTGTTCAGTTTTCTTAGATCCCATAGTGCTATTGTAGTGTCATCAGAGCAGGTAGCAAACAGCCGGTTATCAAGAAATCTGCAAAGCAGAAAAGAAAAACTGGTTTATTTAATCTCTTATTTAAGAAATCTTGAGAAACAGTCTCTATATTACCGAACCAAGAAAACAAACAAATAAGGACTACAAACTCATTGTATAAACCCAGTGATTCTTTAAAAAAAATTTTTTTACTTAAATTTATTGGGGTGACTTTGGTTATTAAGATTATATAAGCTTCAAGGGTAGAATTTTATACTAGATCATCTATATATTAATTGCATGTGTGCTCACCACCCAAAGTCTAGTCTCCTTCCATCACCATATATTTGACCCCCTTTACCCTCTTCCATCTCCCCCTAGCCTTGCCCTCTGGTAACCACCCTACTGTTGTTTGTGTCTATGGGGTTTTTTTGTTTATTTGTTTATTCATTGCTTTCTGCTTTATATCCCACATGAGTAAAATCATATGGTTCTTATCCAAAACCCAATGATTCTGCTATACAATAAACAGTAAGTAAAAATCACATAATCACAGGGAAGTATACTATAATTTAATGAGGGCCACATTGTAATTTTATCCATTTGTTTTACATTATTGATTTTTATTTGGAACTGAAAACAGTGGTGGGTGTTTAGAGAACAGTGCTAGAGAAAAAGAAAAACTTTAAAATCTATATAGAAAACACAAATGGTGAGAAAAAATTTAATAGGAGGCAGCAAATTTGGAAGATTTGATTGCCAAGAGAGAAATGTTAAGCATGAAGGATTCAAAATTATAAGAAATGTTTGCTCTGCTACAAGTAATATCTCTTTCTATTTAAAACACGCATTTAAAAATTGCTATTAAAATGCCATCATTTTCATCTTTTAATTCAAAGGCATTCCTCAAATAATCTCACTTAGCAATATTTTATTGGGACCAGTCAAGATTACAAGATAGACAACTAAAATATTCTATAATTCAGACTTTTAATTAATTATTCTACACTAATTTCTCAATCTTTAATGAGAATATATTTTATACAAATACTTAAAAAATAACAAACCTACCAATCACATTTGAATTTCTTCCTAATTCAATATTAGGATTCTTTCTCTAACATATATTGTTATATATAGCTTCCTAATCGCTTGTAGAAGAAATTCTGGACTTTCTTCCAAGATAAAATTACAAATAATTCTTTCCTATTAGAAATCAACCTCAATATCCACAAACAACATAATGACCTTCCTGAAATTTAACATGGTTTTAAAATTCCAGGCCTTTGTTCAGACTGTTTCTGCTACCTGAAATCACTTTACCCCTACTCCTTGACCTGGCTAACACTTGCTTTCTTTTCAACATTCAGCTTCCATCCCCTCCAGAAAGCCTTCCCTCTCTATCTAGCATAGGGTAGATTTACCAATCTTCTAATCTCTTAAAATACTCTATACTTCTATTTAACTTAATATTACAGTGTACTTTACAGGGCTATAAACTTTACAAGGCTACAAACTCCTTGAAGGCAGGGGGAACCTGTCTGCATAGCTCATGGTTAGATCTGCAGTACTCAACACACGCACTGCCAGGCACATAATAAGCACTCACAAATATTTATTAAATGAATGAATGAGATAGGAGTTCACTGTTTAATGGAAAAGACATTATAAATATATATAAATAATTATACAAGATAATTGAGTGGAATAAGCAATGAAAAGAAGACGGTTAGGAAAGACTTCATGGTGGTGTCATTTGAAATGACTTTTTTAAAAGATGAGTAGGAACTCCCTATGTGGCCAAGGGTACAGAGGCATGTAAGGGGATGGTATACTTTGAGAGGCTATTAAGAGTACTGTGTATGCAAAAGTAGAAACAAACAGAGAATATATTACGGATTTATTCTATAACGATTCCCAATAACTATTTCTTAATTATAAATACACACCCATTGAAAATTTTTAAATGAAGAAAAAATTTACCACCCAAAATAACGTTATTGATATTTAGCTTATTTCCTGTATTTCAAACCTAATATTACTTTACAAATATTTCCATGTCATTAAAGATTTATTGACAAAATCATTCTTAATGACTAAGTAGCATTCATTGTATGAATGAATTATAATCTTTTTTCTTTTTAAAATTAATATGTAATTGTTGGATGTTTAGATTGCTTCCATCTTTTCAATATTATAAAATACTATGATGAACATCTTAACAGCCAAATATTAATCACATCCCTAGTTATTTTTTTAAGTACATTTCCAGAAAAATGTATTGCTAAGTAAAAAGTGATTTTAAAAAATTTAGAGCTTTTGCTACATATAGCCAAATTATCCTCAAAAGAACATACTAATAAACCAGCAACAGTTAGGAGAGTGTCCATTTCTCCGAACTCTTGCCACACAGATATATTTTTTTAATTGCGCTAAGTACTAGAAAAGAAAAATCTTGCTTTAAGTTGAAACTTTTATTTTTAGTAAAGATTAACTTTTTCATATTAATTGGAAGATTAGATTTCTTTTGTGAATTATTGTTCATGTTCATTGCTCATTTTCCTACAGCAGTATTTTTTATTATTGATTTATAAAATCTTTATAACAATATATCTTAGTTTTTCAAATACAGCCTGTTGCATATAATTTACACATACATTTCTTTAATATGGATTGTATATTTTCTTACTATATCAAAATTTTAATAATTATATTGTCAAATTCATTTTTCCCCTTATTTTTACTGTTGAAGCTTTTAAAGTAAAAATATTTTAATGATTTCCAAATCTGATAGTTTTATGATTGCAAAAAACACACAATAACAAAAGGCTACTAGAAAGGCAGTCAAATTTTTAAACTGATATCATCATAAGGGCATCTTCATACATTTGAAAATTTTAGAAAAATATATAACTAAACATATTTTGTTTAGTCCAGAGAAAATACTTAGATGCACATATGGATTCAAAACTCCAGTGAGATTATATTCTGTATGCCACAGAGGTCTACTTTAAAGGGTTTAAGGTAAGAGAGTGACATGATTCAATAATAGTTTCAGAAAGAAAGATCTCTTAGGTGGCCAAAACACTTGGATTTTCATACAAAAATAAAGTAGAGGATCAGTTTTTAAATTTTTGTCAATAAGGCTACTGAAAAAATTACCATCATTACATGAAAGTATATTTTACTAACAATAATGTAGAAAGAACATAATCTTAAAACAAAAGCTAATAATTTTGAATTGAATAAGTTTATCTTTAATAAAAAATTCAATGCATTGACTTTAGTTTTCTCATTTTTGCCTCAAAGTATTACCTGCTAAAATTTTAGGTATTAGAGAATCACTGGTAAAGAGAGTAGATAAATTATAGAGAATTAAGAAACTAGAGTAGAAGACCAGTTAAAGCATCTACAATTCTTATTGCAAGAAAGCTAAGGCAGAGAATGTAAAGTTTTAGACAAGTTCTTGGAGATCTGACCCAATCTTCTCAAATTAAAACTCAGTCTAGCCTAATCAGTTGATAATTATAAAATATTTTTAACTCCATAGTCCTTCACACACACTGAGTTTCCAAATTATAGAACCTTTCCATATGTCCCCATCAAACCCCAACATATGATTATAACAGCTCTAGGTAAATTGACATCTAGATAAATTGAGGTCTTCGTTATCAGGAGATAAGTGGTAAGGGATAACAACAATTGAAATAGAAATAGAATTTTCTTAAAACAGCTACCAGTATTTCAGGGAACAATGTAAAGAAAGTGTTGTTGAGTTTTAATCTTAAAAAAGACAACAAAACTAAAAATCACAAAAATAAGCTTTTTTCTCTACATTTATTTAACTATATGCAAATTCTTAGAATAAGGATAAATTAAATGTTTGGGTTTTTTTGCATAATCCTTCCAGTGAAATTATGACAGAAGAATATGGCATCCTTATTTCATACTTAAGTTTTGTACTATACGTGGGTCACTTCTGTATAATATTCAAGGGCTTTATCAATGTTCCCATTGATAAAGCTTTTCTTTAGTCCTGTGGGATATTTAGATAATTTTTCGAAGTGTCTATCATGTCATCATTTGTCATTTTCTTTTCTCTAATTGGTAACTAGTCTAACTTTATCAAATCTTCATTTGCCAATAATTTTATATGTAACAGACCAGTTCTATAATATCACTCTCAGGGTTTTGTGAAATTCTATATCCTTTGCAAGGTAAGAAATTTCATGTTCCCAGTAATAAGCACTGCATTTTCTTTTTGAAATATAACAATCAAGAAAAGACCAACAAAGACAGTGAGAAGGAAAGTAGATCCTGGGATATTTAAATGGGTATTAATTTTTTCACTGCCATATCACTAAGTAAACATTTTTATGATAACCTCAGTTGTCTTCTGTAACCTCATAACTAGAGGCACCTTGATTATTAAATGGACTCTTAAATCCACATAAAGAGTCCTCATGAATAAGTAAGCCTGTATAATGGGCTTAAGAATTTAAATTACATCCTTTCCCTAAATATGAAGCAACAAAAAACACTCTTCACAACTATCAACATTTTTATTTTATAAGATAAGCGAACCTCAAAACTAAGAAATGAACTAGAAGACATTATTAAGTATGTGCAAAATGATGATCTAGAACCAGAGAGTGCATGCCCATATCTCTGACAATACAGTGGGGTGGTCTAATGGGTATGAATTCCAGTTTATCACTTACTATATATAAGACCGTGGGCAAGTCTCTTTATCTGAGTTGTAGTTTCTTCATTCCTTAAAATGGGTACAATATCTGTCTCACATCAGGATACTGTGAGGATTAAACGATATAATATATAAAAAGTGCTTCACAAAAGGTTTGGCATATGGAAAACACTCAAAAAATGGAAGTTAGTATTATTAATAGGTAATGCACACTTAAGCTCATGCCAGAGGATTCCTCAGATCCTTCTAAAAATTCTGAAGTTATATGAACTTCTGAAAAATCTTCAAAATCTGTTTTTCTAACCAACAGATAAGCAAATTCAAATTTGTAGGTGTGGGGTACTAGGGTAGGTAC